GCCACGCGCGCCGTCGCCGCCCTGCCCCGACAGGTGCGGCGGCCCGCTGCGTGGCGCCGCTGACCCACTTGTGTAAGTGGACGAACGGACGCCGTCCGCCGGCGATCGCGTAATAGGACAGCGGCTTATAAGCTCAAATTTCGGCGGCGCGATCCCATGCGTAATGCGTCGATGCTGCGGAACCGCTCAGAGTGCCGTGTCGTTGGCAGTCGGGGCGCGCGGCGCCGTGTGTGAACGCGCGAGCGTAGGCGCCGGCTCGCCCCGGCCCGCGCCGTTCGAGCCGCGGCGACGTCGTGTGCTCCGAACGACTGGACCGTGAAAGGCGATCCGGCTCTGTAACGGACCGCCACCGGACCAGAGCACCGCCTGGAAACGTCACGGTTGTGGCGTCTGGGCCCTGACCGGCGTCAGGTGTGGCAGAGCCGTGCTCAAGAAGGCAGTGCCGGACCAGAGCACCGCCTGGAAACGTCACGGTTGTGGCGTCTGGGCCCTGACCGGCGTTAGTTGTGGCAGAGTCGTGCTCAGGAAGGCGGTGGCGCATGCGCGGGAGGGGCGGGGAGGTCGTATTCAGGGGTGCCGACCCGCAAACCTGGGCACTCCGATACCAGCCAGGGGGCCCTGCACGCCAACCGGGGGCCTTCTGAGTGATATGGGCCTATATGTCGGGTCAGGCGACACCAGTACTGCACAGTCGTTCCGTGTCGGGTAGGGGCGTGAGGGCCCACTTCCCAAGCGGTGACAGGGCTGAGGCCGACGATTTACACTGGTCGGGCCCTGTATCTGTTAGGGGCCCAAGGCGCCTAACGGGGGGCTCTGTGTTGAGCTCCTTGTCCCCATTGGATGGCTGAAGGGCCCGAACGGCTGGCTGTATGTCAAATTGAGGACCCTGTCGTACGACTGTAATATCGAATGTCAGTTAAAGGGTCTTATGCACCGATTGAGACCCCCGAAACAGTGCGTTCCTCTATTTCAACCAGAGTCACCAACACCGAACAGTCTTCTCTGTGTCGGTCTGAGATCTGGGGGTCCATTTCCCAAGCATGGACAACGACGGGCCCACAATTTTCCAAGGCTCTAGCAGCGCCGCTGCAGGAAGAGAGGGGCTTGCCCGGGAGCTGTGTGCCCTGCGTGAGCCTGTGTTGCGAGTATTGAGACTGAGTAGGGATCAGGCAATGATAAGGCGATATAGATAATTACGCAATGAACCCAATGATGCGATGGCAATGATCATTTCCAAGCAATAAAATGTGCATCATCTTCTGTAAACCATTTACGTTTGATTCGACTCCACAGCGGTCGGAAAAGCCAGCTTAATCCCATGCGCGAGCAGTGACTCTCTGGCTCTCTGACGTGCTCCTTCTGACCTCGCTGCTCAGACTCGTCCTGTCAGCGATATTTGCATACGAGCCCCACAGGACCAGGAAGCCGCCGCGTCGGGACAGGCCCGTGGCAGACGACACGCACGCGCGTGCGCTGAAGAGTAATGGCGCGTCAAATAGTACTGTTATGCGGCGATTCCTCCAGCGTCTCCGAGGCCCTGATGGACCGCAGCGTAATGAGGGATTCACGGGATGGCTGTATCGCCAGATCGCACGCAAGCGCGTCTCTTTCAATGGGAGAAGCCATTACGGCGTTCAGTGGTAATGAGTGAGGTTTTGAATGGCCCCAGATATCAATGGTAATAAATTTGTTCCGCCTCAGATTCGGCGTAGATTACACGGTAGCAGGGTCGTCCCGGGTTTGAGTGATGGTATGTGGACGCACTAAAGGCGGTGGCAGACACCATTTCGTGAGCATCAGATGCGCCCGACATCGTGCCCGAATATAGGAAACAACGATGACGGACCGGAGCACGACAGTCTCCCTAGCCTGCTGGCGGACCTGTCAGACATTGGTCTGGCGTCTATGGCCTCCGATGACGCCGCAAAATTAAGTGTTAAAATTCATCGGAAGTCAATATCATTGTATACGCCTTTTATGTTGGGAGATCGTTGTGAAGCTCACTGCATCATCGTTACGAAGTTTGAGCTCTCTGGCGTCCGTTTACTTTGCACACGGTGGACGGAGGAAAAGAGGCATCCCAATGCTGCTGAATTGAGAATTACGCTCTTCCTGTGTCATGCTATTAATACAGCATGGAAAAAACTTAAAATATCAGATGCTTGCCTCGCGTAAACGTGTGACAAGAGGTGGAGGCGTTTAGCCTTATCGCTAACCACACTTCTGTTCGATCCTAACAATGGACCAACAATATTTGGTACAACAATATATCCTAGCAAGCACGAACAGATTTATCAATAAATTTTTAAGCGTACAACTCATTCAATAAATAAGAACTCTTTTATTCATAACACTTTTCGCGGCATTACCGCGTTCACAGTTTATTGCGAAATGGTTATGTGCGTGTTTTTCGTGTAAGGTTCGGGGTACAGCGCCATGGCGCTTGAAAGGCTGATCCCTCGGAAATCTAGAGGCTAAGGTAACGCTAGAAATCAAAGGCAGATGGCTTACTTAACCAGCATTACAAGTGTCAGCACTTCATTGCACTCCATCAGCACTCGCCGAGTTGGATGCATTCTCCTGCCGCCGTGGCGAACACGAAGTGCACTGCCACGTGCTGCCTGCTCTGCTCCCCTCCTGACCCTCCCTGTGACCGGCAGATGTGCTGCTGCCACTTGCTCCCCTGCCTACCCCGCTCCCTCTAACCTGCGCTGTGACCGGCCATTGTCACTTGCTCCCTGCCTACCCCGCTCCCCTCTAACCTGCGCTGTGACCGACAGGTGCGCTGCCACTTGCTCCCTGCCTACCCCACTCCCTCTAACCTGCGCTGTGGACCGGCATGTGCGCTATCACTCGCTGCCCTCCCTACCCCGCTCCCTCTAACCCTTGCTGTGACCGGCAGATGTGCTACTGCCACGTGCTGCCCGCCGCGCCCCGCTCCCTCTGACCCGCGCTGTCACTTACTGCCTGCCTGTCCCGCCACTCTAACCCGCGCTGTCACCGGCAGGTCTGCACCGCCCAGTACAACGCCCCGGTCAGCCGACCCAGCAACATGCCTGAGATCTCCAACCTCGAGGTCATGGTGCGGCAAAGGACCACATGACCGTGCAGCTGGGCTTCGCAGGACCGTTCCAGTGGGTGCACCGCTCCGAGTCGCCGGGCGACCCGGCGCCGGCTGCGCACACACGCACCACCGACGCTGTGTGCCCAGCAACACGCTGTTGTAGTGCTCCGCCTGTCGTTGGAGTTGATAAACTGGTGATCAGATAGGGCTGATGATAACCGTTTGCATGACACGACTAATCCGGTCAGGGTGGTTTGGTAAAGATGGATTGCTCCTCTTTCTTATGTGCTTGAGTTCAATGAGCGTTTGTGGTTTTAATCCAGGTCGTGACTGCCTGCAGGCGAGGGAACGTGTATTTATTAGGACAGATGCATACCTTGGGCTTACGCTGTGAGATGTTCTTTGATAATTGGAGCTAATAATATACAACAAACATGACTGCAGTGGTGCAACACCGAGACCGTATCCAACACCGAATCTGAGGGAAAATGTGTAGCAATGTGCCAATGAACTTCCAAATTAACCTTGGACGTAAATTCTTGAGTTTTCTCCGTTCTAACCAGCGTTGCCCTTTTGAAGTTGGTTTGGTCATCAGGTCTGGTTTGGGGGTTTTGAGCACTTGACTCATCTAAAAAGCGTCCACAATTTATCAGCTATCACCTCCAATCTTTGTTTTAAATGCGACACCAATAAATGCAATGGGCTCAGACAGTGCAGAAAAAGTGACACCAGCTGTTCACTACCGTTTTAATTGAATACGTGAGAAATAGAAACTTTGTCACCATCTGCTGTTGACACCCTGTAATCTCACACAATCCATTTCCAAACTAGCTGGCATTTTTCACTCGTACGAGATCCTTCATTTAGATCCGAGCGCACATTCGAGTGCACACCCATGATCGACAGTCTACCTACTGGCACAATGCTGCGATTCACAACCCCCACTCCAGCTGGAAAGCGCGCCCCCAGCCCCGCGCAGCTCCACCCTCTACAGCAGCGTGGGCGTCCTCTCGACGGCGCGCGCCGCCCGCGGCCGCGGCCCGCCCCAGCACTGACCCGGCCCGTGGTCGGAAGCCGGCGGCGCAGGCGCCGGCGCGCCATGCCAATCACGTATTCGGCGGCCGTTAGCGGCACTTTACGGCGACGCCTGCGGGGGACAGCCGATCGCGGCCCGGCCGGGCGGCGGCCGGCTCCCGCTGGCGCGCCGGAACGGTCCGGCCGACGCAGTCCGGTGACGGTCGCGTCGGTCGCACGTTATACATCTCTGTTGCGAGCCGCCGGCGCGGTTATTGTGATTTGTGGGCCGGCTCCATTTTTGTTTACCGCAAATGGAGGTGCGGCCGGCCGGTTGGGAGCGGGCGGGGTTGGGCGGTGTGGCTGGGCACGGAGCGCTGAGTGGGGGTGCATGCAGACCGCCTGTCCACGCCAAACTGGCGCGTGTTAGACGCAGAAGGGTGCTTAGTACCCGTTTATGTGATCTGCGGATCATGCAGGGAGGCAAATGGCCGCGCTCCGCATAATTGTAATTTAAACGTAAAATGCGTGATGATTCAGCGTGCTCTACCGTTATAACGGCGTCGTTTCCCCGTTGTTAAGTGCCACGGCAGCACGTGTTGCTCGCGCATTCAGAGTTTGCACGCTCCGTTTGCCCGGATTGGGTGGGTGACTGCTGGGAACAGTGTCAGACGGCCGGACGAGCGCCGCCGCAGCGTCTAGGCTACGCCGTCAGAAGTCCTCAAGAAAGTCGGCGGTGACACGAGCCACGACCGTCAATGGCCTGGTGCGTAGGAGCGTGCTGACCACTGGGTCATTTTGTGGCAGAGGGAGCAGCGGTCCGAAACACGGAAGCGTCTTCCGTTTATGGAAGCCATCACATTCCGACGGCCGAGGGCGTCCATCAGTCACCTACGACTGATGCTTCGCCCTCAAATGGTCGACTGGGGTCTGTGAATGGATCCAGACACCCGCACGCAGGCCTACAACAGAGACGCACGGCTGTGAGGGGGCGTCGTCACCAACTCTGCACCAACGCATGTGAAGACGAACATCTGCAGATTGACGGGCTCAGGTGGCGTGCGGGACACCGGCGAGCACATCTACACACGAGCAGATCGGTAACAAAACGCTCACCCGGAGCCTACGCCATCATCACCAGCTTCGGAAGCACTTCTAATGCCCAAGACAAACTGACAAAGACCACAAACGAACCACTGGCAGCACTTGCAAACGCGCCGTGAGCGCTCCCGTGCACCACCAACGCCAGCAGGTGGGGACGACGCAGCCGTACCGCGCTATCCTTCGGTGAAGACGGCCAGGACGCGTCCCATCTCCGGTGCAGGTCCGGCTGGCTCTGACCGGCGGCACGTTAGCGGCCCGCGCCGGCGGAGCGCGGCCGGCTCCGCCGAGGTTGGCCGGCCGTCCTGACGCCGTGGGCGGCGCGCACCGACCCTCGCCGGCGGCACACGGCCAGCCCCGCTGACGTGGGCCGGCCGTCCCGACGCCGTCGGCGCCGTGCATGTCTGCATAGCCAACAATGGGTCACTGGGTGTGGGTCTCAGTGGGCAGTGCACGCTCCAGCGCGCTCGCCGGCGCGGCCCATCGCTGACCCATTTCCGCGCCGGCCGCGGTCCATTAACCGCGTCCCGACTCCGGACCGCGGTCCATTACGGCGGCAGACCGGCGCCCACCGCCGGCCATTGATTGGACCGGTCCGGGTGATGACAGAGGTTCGTTGAGGGGCCGCGTCCGTGTGATCATAGGGGTGCGCCGACGGCCGAGCCCGGGTGCAGAGCGGAATACGTTCGCGAGGCGGGGTGTGGAGCGCCACTTGAGTGCAGACCGACGCGGTGGGGCCTCTTGTTGTGAGGCGAGCCGTGGGATGTTGTCGTCAGGGGTTTAATCACAGGGCTGTCAGGACGCGCCCGGTCCGTGTTGGTGTATGGTGAGCACGACGTGTTCGTTGCACGATGTAAGGAGAATCATTTGGTCCCCACTAGGGATAATCGTGAGTTGTCCCGCGTCGGTTATGTCGATAGTTCTTCATGAAGAGCTGACCCAGCTTCATAGAAGGGTATGGTTCCCAAGTGATCAGTGAGTCATTCACAAGCCAGGACCAGTCTTTTGAGGGCTCTCCACACAGCCGCGGATGTCACTGCTCTGCGCATTGTTCTGTTGTCAGTAGGCGGGCTGAAAAGGAACAGTTTAACAAAAGCTCCGGCCCTTTATAACGATGCCTCTGCTGATACGCCGCCACGGTTCATTCATAAGGTTTTTCGTGGACGACGTCGACATTTCGTTATCAGTGCATGGGCAGAGAGAATCGCACAAAAGAAAGAGGGTGCAGGGACCTTTTTAAGTTGGTTATGACTGTGCATGAACGTAGTTAATCTGAAACATTCACAGGAGGTGGCTGGGCCAATCTCCATCCCACCGCACCCCCACCCCTAGCTCCATTATTTCTAAGCCTGCATATCTCTGAACAACCATCTATCACTCTTTAGCATGATCCAAGAAAGCTAGAACAAAAAACTGATCGTTCGATTGCCCCCATATACCACAGAACTCACGCTTCTTTATAACACCTCCGCCTGAGCCTCTCTAAAACGGCCACGACTTACACTACTCGTGGTGCATACCGTGATGCAGTACGTGATATTCTCCTGGTCGGCCTTGTTGTCTCAGTTTATCACCGCATCAGTGCCGGCGCCGGTACACCTAGCATGAATCGTGTCAGCGATGCCTATCTCGGCCGTCTCCGCCACCCACCGCGCCATGCTGGCCGCCGTTACGACGCCGTACGTCTTGTCGCGGCCGTGTCTGTTTGCCAAACCGGCGACGTTAGTCGCGGTGTGGCTGGCGGTGGCGGCGCGCGCCGCGAGGCGTCCGTCGACAGCGCGCGGCGTGCGAACGCGGCTGGTACGGCGGGCGTGTCGACCGGGCGACCACATCGTGCAGCCACCGTCAGCTGCAGACCGCGCTGCCACCCCAGTGGCCGTGTCCGCCCTCGGTCCCGGCCGAGCCGAGCTCCGGCCGGCCGGGCTCCCGCTCGTGCCGCGTGCCGCTGACCTGGTGCCGGCGAGCGTCGGAGCGGCGCCGCTGACCCCGTGCCGGCGCGGGTCGCCCAGATCGGACCCATCGTCGGCGTCACAGCTGAGTGCCGCTCGGCCGGACCGGTTCGGCGGCTCGTGCGGCGCGCTGTCCGGCGGCGGCCGACGGCACCGTCAGTCAGTTTTTTACGGCAGATGGCCGGTGGCGGGCGGCAGTGCATGGGCCGGGCCGGTTCCGTTGTTGGCGCTGGCGCTTCCGGGGGGGGGGGGGGCCTAGTGTTGCTGTCGCTGCCGTCAGCGGTGCTGGTGCTCACACCAGCGGTGGTGCGGCGCTGGAAGTCCGGCGTTGCGGCCGCGGCGGCGGAGTGTTGGTGGACGGGGCCGTCTGCGCGCCAGATGCTCGGAATTTGGATTTGTGTCCTCGGTCACCAACAGATGCAGCAGATGGCTGTAGCGTCGTAACGGAAGCCGTCAGAAGCGAGAGGCAGAACGGGGAATGTGATGGAGAGGGTGGGAAACAAAGGTTTATGAGCCAGCCTGAAAATATGGCTGATTGGATGCACCTGACGCATGCTTCTTCAAATTCCGCGCATCTAGATTCCGCGAACCGGCCATCGCACAGCGCGTCTCGTCCCACACCGCCGGCACCTCCTGGGCCCGGCTCGCCAGTCGCCACTCCTCAGCCCTTCCTCCAGTCCCAGCCCCGGCAGCGACATTCTTTAAACATCACAGCTGACCTCAGCGGAGCGATCCGTTCACGGGCCGGTGATTGGCGCGCGGCGCCCGGAGCCAGAGCCGTCCGGTCTGTCGCCCAGAGCCAGAGCCGCCCGGTCTGCCGCCGAGCGACACAAGCCGGCCGCCGAACCCATTGATAACACGTCGGCTGGCGCGCCTAATTACCGTCAGAGTTATGATAATCGTGCGGCCATCTGGCACGTCGACAGCGCATGCGCCGCGGCGTGATGAGTGCAGTCAGCACGAGACGAGCAGAGCACACGTGACCAGACCGTCTGGAAGCACGTGTGCTCGCAGACAGGTGTCGTCGGGCCGGCTGTGCTCGATGGTGCCGTCTGTGGGAACGTGCTTGGCTTCTTGCTGGTGCGCGCGAAGGGTTCATGAACATCGTGAATGCGGCATGGTCGATTGTGTCCCCGCTAAAGGAGTGAATTGAGGATAAAAACGGTGCTTGTCCTGAAAACGTGAAAGGCATGAGAAGGCCCGTTTTTGTCAGAGATTTTGCACGATGCGTGACCCTTTTTATGCCTTTTACAGGGACTGGTATTCTCCAAGGGGCAGTTCAACAGTCAAAACTGCGTGTACGTCAAACCTTACACGGGTCTCGGAGCGTACACCTTCGATATCTACTACAACAAGTGCGGGACCAAGCCCGACCTGAACGGCAAGTTCTACGAGAACACTATCATTGTCCAGTACGACAATGAACTCATCGAGGTAAGAGTCATGCTATTGAAATCGCCAAGCAGGGCCGAACATTTTCACGACAGTGCCCGTTCTTGTCACCGTTTTTGTCGACGGTGTGGAAAAATCCGGCACCGCACAGAAGTCATGTTGTGTGACTCTAATTGAGGACGACCATGCCTCTTCTTTAGCTTGTCGTGCCGTTATAATTGCTCACTATCATGTAAATGCAGTCATGCAGTATCTCAATCTGAGCTGTGATTATCTTTGATAAAATTCGCTTTAATCACTATGTGCGGCGCACAAACTGATCAAGCCTTTGGCACTGCCCATCGATTTCTGCGAACGCTTGAAGTGAACCGCTATGTAATTTCCTGTTTAGGTCTGGGACGAAGCTAAACGTCTGCGCTGCGAGTGGTACAATGATTATGAGAAGACGGCGACCAAACCCCCGGTGGTGATCGCCGACCTGGAGGTCATAGAGCTCAACTTCAGAGGTCAGTGTGCAGCCTTCGTAGTGGGCCCTCAGCGGTAATCGAATTAAATTCCCTCGGGTTCAACGATCATAAAGTGCAGGTCGGGCCGACTTGGCTTCAAGGCTGCACAGGGACGCGCTGGTGCTAGCACCACCTCGTCGCCTGCAGTCCCAGATCCTGCACCCTTGCCGCGGCGGGTGACGCTGGCTCGTCGCCTCGGGCAGCCGCCGGCCTGTAAACCATACGGCGCGCGGTGCCGCCTGGTGCTGAACCCGCGACCGCTAGCTCCCGATTCCATCTCCACGCCCCAGTGGCGGGCCCGCCTCCGTCTCGTGTCCCTCGTCCATCACCGTCCCCAGTCGCGGCCGACTACATTAGTTCTGTCGACCCCACGAACACGCCCGCGTTCGACGCTGATAGTCTAATTACGCAAGGGCACCCAACGCCGGCTCCGCACACCCGCCTCCCACAAGTGACAAGCCGGCAAACCAGCAGATGTAAGTCTGCCTCTAACGGATTCCTGTTCTCGTCGTAAGCTCTGAATTTATTAAAATTCTTCGACATTCATAGCCCGTGATTACCACCGCGTTAAATTCAATTGGCGGGCGCGCGCGCCGGCGCCGGTCGTGGCGCCTGTCTAATGAATGGGAGCGCGCGGTGCGGCCGGTGGTCGCCGTGTCCGTCAGATGGCGCTCGCCCCAGCCCGGCGTCCGTCGCCCGGTCCGTTAAGACGCCAGCCCGTTGCGACAGATAACGCGAGGCTCGTCGGCTGCGCCCTCGCAGGCACGCACGCGCACGCACGCGCAGATAACGCGAGTCTCGTCGGTTGCGCTCCTGTAGGCGCGCAGACACACACGCACGCAGAGGCGCGCCCCCACCCGCCACAAAAGCCAGGCGATTCCCTCTCGGTAGCTCAAGGGGCGTCGGTGATAGGCTGATGTACGGTCCAGGGGGGGGGGGGGGGAGGGGGCCAACGCTCGATGGAGGAGGGTCCGTCTATGGGAGCCTCACTGAGCGCTCGCGACACTTCTCACTGCTGGCCGCGGTCGTGCTGGCCGTTCTCCGTGCCCGACGCCTTCCTGCTCCTCCGCGCCCGATGCACTCCTGTCTGGACGCTGCTCCTCTGCGCCCGACGAGCTCATGTCTGGACGTCGCTCCCTGCCGAGCTCCTGTCTGGACGCTGCTCCCTGCCGAGTTCCCGTCTGAACGCTGCTCCTCCGTGCTCAACGCACTCGTGTCCGGACGCTGCTCCCTGCTGAGCTCCTGCTCGACCGCCTCTAAAGTGCAGCCGTCACGCCCCACTGCCCCAGCTCGAGTCCACGCGGTCCGCCGGTGCGGCTGTCTGTCGGACCCAGAGACTTCAAACCGCCTCGTCGAGGGGTGGCGCGAGAGTAAGCATGCTTTCCATCAAGCCGCCAGGATACCCATATTACGGACCTTCTTTACGCCATCAAAATCAAGTGCGTCGCGTTTGATGTCATGATGGGAGGTCGGAATCACACGTGGCCGAACTAACAGAGCGTAAAATCGCAGTTAAAACGCATGGCTTTCTACTTGTGATCCCGCACGTTGACGGAGGTCAGTCAGGCTGCACTTCCGTTCCCCGCGCCCGGCCAGCGTCATCACTCTCGTGTGTGTTGGTTGGCGGACCAATGGCGGCTCGTTTTGGGGCGCCCGCCGTCATCCATCTTCCGCTCGACTTCCTGATTTATTTCGGGGGCAGAGTTCGCCGCCGTCGAGTATGGCGCACCGCCGGTGCTTGGCTTCCATCCCTTCTGAATGGGCCGTCAGTGGTACCGTAGTGCCGCCGTCGCTACAGAGGTACCCAGATTGGGCAATGTAGTTAGCTAAATATTTTGGTCGGCAAGGTTATTCCAATCTTGTTGAAGTCCACGGAAGAGAAACATACTTTCTGAGCGTTAATTCGTGTTCGCTCTGATGCTTGTTCGTCGTCGGGTCCCTTCATCTTACCCCTCTGCTCCACTCCGGTACTAGTGGGCCAGTGGACTCCTGAGACCTAGACCTGTGATGTCATGAAGGTTGGTCCGCAACGCTCGTTCCCTGGGCGATTGTGGCGACTTTGTATGTAAATCTAGGGCATGCAGAGCTTTAATAAAGATGCCGAGCAAAACGATTCTGTGTATCCTGTTCGGCAAGGAGCGAGTACGTCGGAAATGGAAGGTGTCGGGACCCATAGTTGTGGCTCATTTTGATGACTTGCCTTCTTGCCGGTAAAGGATAGCAAACATATAAAGAGCATTTCACCATCACCTCGCTTCCTTAAGTGATAAATCACAGAAGAGATACTTTAGAGTCCTTACGTTTTAAGTCCAAGCGCATTGCAACGTCACTTGGCTTTCGTAATGCAAATCTCACGATGTCGCAGTAGTCGACCTCAACCTGCCAGTCCGTCCATTTCCTGCTCGGCGTGTGTGCTACTTTGAGCATGAGCGTATTGTGCACTGCGTTCGCTTCAGGGAAGACCATTAGGTGGTGTACTCCATTCGGTGTCCAAGCCCATCCAAGTTAACGGCTTTCTGACTTATATACACCCTGCGCCCGTGCTATTGGATCCATAGAAAGGATAGAAAGGATATAGATGTACCCATAGAAAGGATATAGATGATGATAATAGATGTAATTCAGAGACCAATAGTTAGTGACCAAGTAGACTATCACTGTTATTCACGTGCTGCCTAAGTCGCCTTGTCTACTGTGGCTGTTCCCTCTCCGTTTGGTTTGTTTGCTTTCCTGGGCATGCTGGCGGTCCCTAGGTAGTTATTTCACGCAGGTCGAAAGCCTGGCAGCCAGGAGAAAACTCGAGAGAAGACCACCTTGTGCTTCCTCTAATACGACCCCTCGTGGTGCAAGCTGACGATCAGCAGTTGCTGTAGCGATCGCGCGTGGATTCCATTTACTCGGACATCTAGTCGTGAAGGTGGAGAAGAAGCCCAAATATGTTTGCAATGACTTACACGCTATATAAGGCTACTGCTTCTATCTGCGTGGAGGGCACAGTGTCGTTCTGCGCGTGACTCACCGTGACGTTGGCACCTTTTCCAGGAGACAATGTGGATTGCTGGATGGAGATTCAGGACGGCAAGGGTCCGTGGGCCAGTCCAGTGACCGGCATTGTGCCGCTGGGATCCACGCTGACCATGGTTGTGGCCATCAACGACCCCAACGGTGAGTGAGGGAGGAAGCGGCGGCCTAAACAGACTATCGTGCGCATGAGTACGCCGAGGCCGATCAAGGATCAACAGCCCTGGTTATTCATTCCCGTTTAAGGGCTTTTTAATGTTCGGTACTGGTGGCAAGTGGTTATCATGCTTAATTAATGGAGCTGGCACGCACTTCGCGACCTAGGGGGCCGTGATCCTATTGGGTTTATTTCAATGGCGTGCAATAAACGAAACATTTAAAACTGCAGTAAAATCAACGGCATGGTTAAAGGTAAGTGGGTCCACAGTGATTAGATCCAAATGCCTCGTACTGGAGCAGCCTACGCTTTAAAGCAGCACAATCAAGAGGAGGCTTGCCTCCGACATTTGCAGACGTAGATTGGCTTCAGCAGCCGTTGTGTAGATATGCAATCGCTGTTGGTGGTTAATCCTGTGCGGCTAACCCTAGCATTTGCCTTCAGCCGAGTTCGACATGCGGGTGAAGGAGTGCGAGGCGTCGGATGGCAAGGGCCGGCCCATCTACCTCTCCGACCAGGACGGCTGCGTGCTGCGGCCCAAGATGATCAGCAAGTTCATGAAGCTGCGCAGCAACGACGGCCGCTCCACCGTCATCACCTACGCCCACTTCCACGCCTTCAAGTTCCCCGACAGCATGTACGTGCACCTCAAGTGCAAGGTGGAGATCTGCCGGTACGGCTGTCCCGACCATTGTCAGAAGGCCGTGGCCGGCGGCTACGCGTCACCTAGCGCGCCGCTGGTCGCCGCCGGCTCCAACTACGACCCGGTCGTCTCCAACTCGGTGGAGGAGTCGCAGCCGGCGGCCGAGCCGCGCAAGCCGGTGGTGGTGCAGGCCAAGCTGGAGGAGGAGTACCAGGCGGCGCCGGCGCCGGCACCGGCACCGGCACCGGCGTCCGAGCACTTGCAGACCGCGCCCGCCGACGCCGACGCTTACGCCCCGGCGCGGCCCCAGGCGGTCGTGGCCGTGCCGAAACTGAAACCGAAGCGGAAGCTGAAGCCGAAGCCGGTGCCGGGCGGGTTCCGCGGCCCAGCGCGCCGCCGCCAGCCGCCGCTGCGGCGCCGGCCCGGCCGCCGGCCGCTCCACCAGCGCGTGGACCTGGTGCGGCCCGGCGGCGGCGGCCACACCATCCGCGGCATCCCACTGCCGCTGCCGCCGCGCGACGGCATCAACCGCATGGACATGCCGGCCGACCTGCCGCCGCTGCCGGCGCATTACCAGCCGGTGCTGATCGCACCAAGCACGCATGATGTCATCGGCAAGCCGCAGGCGATCCCGGTGCCGTTCAACACGGACGGTCGACACGCGGAGGCGGCGTCGCGCTCTGCCGCGGCCGACACGCCGGCCGAGGCCGTGCGAACCTCTGACGCCGGCCTGGGCGGCGTCGACCGCTCCGAGTTCCCCTGGGGACCGCGCAAGCTCAAGATCCGGCGACGCCGCTTCGTGGTCGACGAGCCGGCGGCCAAGTCGGCCGACATCGGCGTCGCCTCCACGCTCGAGGTCATCTCGGAGAATGACCTGCAGTTTGAGCCGACCTACGAGGACAACCAACGCGTGACCATCTTCCAGGGCCAGATCCGGGACGACATCGTGTACGGCATCTGTCTGCCGGCAGCCGGCTTCTCGGCACTGTTCGTGCTGCTAGCCATGTGCGCAGTCATCTCGGTGCTGGTGGCCGGCTTCCTTTGCCACCACAGGCAGGTGCAGAAGGACTCGAGTCGGCAGCCGGCAGCCGTGCCGCTGCGCGACTGGAACATGGTGGGCTTCATCCGACAACGGTTCCAGCCGGCGCACTGAGCCGGCCGTGCGCTCAAGCGAGCTGTCCTGCCGCACCCAGCCGTCCGTCACGTGACTCCGTCGGTGGCAGAGGCCGGCCGTGGCAGTGACCCCCCATCGGCGGCGGCTCCGGCCTAGAAGCGGCGCTGGTCCTCTCGCCTTTCGAGCATGCAACGCTGTCGTCCGGCGCAGTTGCTTTCAGGGGTGGTCCGTCCAGATACGGCGCTCTCCAGCGGCCGGGCCGCCCCGACGCGGTGACCTGACGTGTCGGGGCGGGGACGCTGGGGCGACTGACACGTGAGACGAAGACCGACGTCAAAATTACGCCCAGGAGCAGCGCAGCCGTAAAGACTGGCAGAGCCACCGGGCAACTGACGGGAGTGACTGGTTGAGGCATCGGCCAGCTGACATCAGTGACGCGGAGACGGACTCATTGCTCACTCGCTGATTGGCTGAGACAAGTGCAGTCCGCTTGTCTCAGCCAATCAACACCTGGAAGGCTCAGGTGATGTCCACCGTTAGCGACATTACTTCAAGATGCCTTTTGGGAGGATGACACGGTTAGGTTTGATCATTATGAAACGCCCTGAGACGTGAGTGAGTGGGACAGCACAGACGCAGAAGAATGGTGCACGTGGACGAATTCATTTGCTCCTTGGCTTTGCCTGCAATGCTTGCACTTCCGGGATCGTTTACATAATATTCTCGATGAATAACCCATGAGAACAGATTTAGTCCTGTGACTATTGCATGATAAATCTGAGCACAGGATTAGGTACTATGCTGTCTATCAAGTTTTGTAACGACCAGTTAGGTATAATGGCGCATTCAAGTCTTGGAGTGTTTAATGCTGACATTTTCATTTTAGCTGACATTTGACGAATGCTTGATATGTATGCCTGTTGTTTATTAAGTGGGCGCGTTTCATTAAGTCAGGTGCACTGCGACCGACGTGCACTCGAAGAGCTGCAGATTCAAAATGGCGAACGTGCACCTGACGTAGCGCGTTCGGGATCGTGCAGTGACAGTACTCTGATTTTTTGCTCAATTTGACACTTCACACAGGTGTCAGACTATGAAGCAACGTGTAATTTATAGACACCGATTGTAGGCATTACCAGCACACTAACAAAATAACCAGCTTGTCTGTGTTATGCAATTTGTTATGTTTCTAAGCTCTTTTGTTTTTGGCCTGTTGTTCTCCGTTATATTCAGGCTTACAAACATATTGTCACGACAAACATTAGGTATATTATGTTTACTGTTTTTTTGGTGTCCTAATGTTGTATGTCTTCTCTTATTTATTAAACTATTTATGATTGAGTAATAAATAAACGATGACTTCGTTGCTGTTCTTTGTGCCCACCGCTTCCTGGCAGCACAGGGGCAGTATGATCATTTACGTCGCTAGTTTATTCTAGATCATTCCAGGTGTCTATTTCCCACATAGCACGGCTGAGCTCAGTAACGCATGCTCTTTCACAAAACTGCTCCATTGACGATGTTTGGCCATGACACTGGACGCAGATAGCCCAGACATACAGCAGGTGCGGTGGGTGCGCAGCCGGCCTTAATTTTCTTGGACTTTCCCATTGGTGTAGATGTGGCGACACACAATGCATCCCTCCGTCTTAGTCCGTGCGCCCATAAGCTTGAATCGGTCGCCCCTTTCATTCGGCCTAGGCCGGGCAGTTTGCACTGGCTTTGGTTCCCAACAGCGGAGGCGGCGCCGAAGCCTGTGGACACTGCATGAGTCGACCAGTAACCCGAAGGCCCAGCCGTGGCGTGGCCTAAGGGACCGAGGTCTTCGGACCGCCACCAGTCTGCTTAAGTATCGGCAAACCAAGCTTGTCAAACAAACATAGCTGCAAATTTATTTTCAAGACTGATATAAATACGACGTCATCTATTTGCGCTGAAACCGCCTCACTGTTGCCAGTACGGATGCGGGCACGTTATTGTATGCTGCACTCAAGGAATACCTTGACGCCCGCCTGATCCTTAGCTGTTTAGACAGCTGTTGAGAGTGAGACTATGCTAACTGTGGTGAGCTTCTGGCTGCGCCTGTTTGCCCTTTTTCTCCGGGTAGCCAGTCATCATATCAACTATGTGGGTCGATAACACCTCCTCCTCCATTTCTATCTGCGCCTGTGTGAGGGGAGGACGCTCGGTACTGCTGCCACCTTTTGGTAATCGTTCGAACAAGAGATTCCATTGTATACCGTTGTCAGCAGCCGATTCTACTTCATCGATCGATGACAAGTTGTCAAGCGTGTCGAATATTGTCTCGTAGCCGCTTGGATAGGCATGGTAGAATGTCTGATTCTCATCTTCCAGTAGGTACAGAAGAGGCTTGGCCATCATCGACGGGAACTCCTGAAACACCGTAACCAGTGTCACCCATGTCATAGTGGAATCAGTATCAACCAGGATCAAAGCAGAAACGACGCACCAAAGCTGCCCACATCACAGCGCTCACTTCGTGGGCAGACATTGAAATCCACCCCACTCGTGTCACCTGCAATGGTGACATGTACTGCCGGAATCAAGTGCTTTGTTAGTCGCATAAACCTAGAAAACCCGATCACGTTTTGGCATAGTTGAGCTACGAAATAAGCCAAGGGCCCGATAAAAAGTGCACACATCCAGGCCAGCACAGCTTCATCCTGAACCATCGCAAATAACAGCAGCAGAGATGGGGCAATGTACGTGGGAGCCAACACGGCCTGACCGCGATCGTGACGCCCGCTGCGGGCCGCGACCAGCCGTGATGGCGACGATACGGCCCGTGACTCTGACATCTGAGTCGTGGGCGGGAGGGCGGCCGGCAGCGACTCTGATGGATCACACGCCCCGCTCTCCGGCGGGCCCCGCCCGTTCACACGGCCGTCGGACACGCCGCGCGGCGGGGGATCGGGCAGGGGTCAGGTGGAGGTCATGCTGCACGGACGGTTGATCAGCCTGCTCGTCATTGCACGCGGTTCGGGCTTTGCAAAGATGATGATGCATGTCGGCCTTCATTGTTGCGTAATGTCAAGGATCTCGCGGGAAAAACTGCTGCTTATGCTTGACCAGACTAGCCTTATGACTTCGTGGAACAAAGGGAGCGAAGCGAATGGGTGACACGCATTTTTTGTTGCCCGGGACGGAAACGAGCCTAGCCACGGGTGGCTTAGGTCAGTCCTGTAACCTTACAGAAGAAAATAGAAGGCATTGCTTCGTGATTTATCATCGTGTCACTTCGCGAGCGTCACTTATTGACCTCCCCGGGCCTTCTGACCTCCGATACGCTGACCCTATCACTGAAAGGTCATAACCTACCGAATTAAAGTAGCAGGTGAGTTGTGGTCCACGCAAAAAAGCTCCAGCCCCAGAGGCGACGCGTTCCGTCCGTGCGTGAGCTGTGATCTAAATGTAGCAAATGTAACGGCAGAGCACCAATCAGACTAAGCTCAAGTGCACAGGGTACAGGCTCAATGGGCAGCGTAGCAAAAGCGACAGCAGCAAAGCAGTTGACAGGAATGGGGAAGGATGGCATCATGATGTCACCAGCGTGCAAATTGTTATCAAATATAAGCTGCCAGCCTGTAAAACCTGTGAACCACGGGTGTCACTCTCTAAGTTCGGTTGAGAGCTCAGCCGAAAAGATTGGCTAGATCTAGCCCCCTCACTTGACTTCTCCCAGATTTCGTTCACTTCAAGCTGTGTGCTCCATGCTGAAGTATAGATGCTTTCCTGTGGAGTATTGACCTCTTATTTCAAGATAATGCGAACTGCATTTCGTGCAAAGCTTGGAATAGGATATAATTTACAGAAAAAAGAATATCAGTCAATCTTAGTAACAGATCAATGATGACTACCGCTGTCATTGATCGCATTGCATAACCACCACAGCCATGATTTTGCGATAAATACACTTGTTACTGTTGGGAAAAACATGCGTTAACTTTCATCCGGGTCACCTTGTGCTTTCAAAAGCTGCCGTATCTTGTAGTCAATTGTTCTTGATCCCAATTCAGGCACTATCCTTTGAAAAATTTCAAACCCTTGCGGACTGGCTACTATATGACAAAAATATTTAGCTACTTGCAGGATATGTAGTACAAAATGAGCATGACGCTTCTATTAATATGTCTAGGTACCTACTACCTAGTATACCAATAGCTAAGACAACTGTTCTGTATTTATTAGGCCCAGTATTCTCTCTTTACTTATATGCAATGATGAAGGTCTGAGGATCATTGGGGAAAACTCAGGTTAGCATTAGAGCACTCAACCCCCCCCCCCCCCTCCCCCCCGCCCCTTCCTATGAAAGTATATAAAGTGACACCCACAGCGTTAACGGTTTGTAAAAAATACATAATCAGATCACAGGAACAAACACCACCGAACCATAATATGGATGACGTCAGGTCTACAACATGCCACTGTGAAAAGACGGCAGGCATTTTCTTTGGTTCAAGAATGATATCCTTCATCCTTGACCAGGGCTGGTCACAGCACGCCTACGTAACAGCGAAGTGGCGGCTCGCCGGTAACCTACGCTCCTCCCACCAGGGTGACGGTCTGGCCCAGGCTCAGATGGAAGATATACCACGGAACTTTACTACAAACCATAGCCGAAATTTGACAAGCCCAATGGCTACTAAAAAGGCAGCACTTAGGTCAAAATGTGGAGAGCTGTGCCGTGTGTCTTCTGATCCCCAGTCGTGTATGTGTAGGCCAGTTAAAATATCCCTTCTATCCCTAAAATATCCCTAAAATATCCCTAAAATATCCCTTCTTTGGCGTGACAGCGGATACCTGGAATGCAGAGTGAGGCCTGCCTCTGGAGACTCACGCTCCCACTTTAACAATGCATCCCATTCGCTAAGAAGTCGTAGAAAAAGGAGCAGTTTTTGGATACGCAAATATCCCGCTTATAGTTGACTTTATGTTATAAGTTGTGCTGCGTGCATGCTTAAGGTGTGCAAGCAGGTGAGTGCTGCCATAGCACCGAGCGGTTTGCACCGCTTGAGAGCAACGTGGACTGGGGGTCCTATTTTAAAGTTTATACTAGTTCGATTAGCCCCGAGATGGTGGTGTGTCCAGCTGGGAATGGGGCTTGCCACATATGTGTCAATCGGCTGAACTAGAAATGTGCACGGAGAACGTAGCATCAGCACAGTTATCTTTAAAACGTCCGCGCACGGACAATGTGTGTAGGAGAAATGAAACGCAGCGCTCGTGACCGGTTTAATATACACTTAAGAAACGCACGTCTACGAAGACCGTACAATCCACCAAACACGTTGAAGGGCTATACACGGCAGTGGATTGCGTTCCTGAAATACTAGCTTTGACGTGTAAATTTTAACGACCGCAAAAGACAACGCGGATTCCAGGATACTAGAACCGCAGCAAATTTGTTACCTTCGTCCGAAGCTGAGCGAACAAACGTCGCCTTGAGACTTGGTTTGATGGAAGGATGCTTACGTTATGTGCACTTACAAAAAGTTAGCTTGTTGAAGTGAACACTGGCGCTCACTGCTGTATTTCTTTTGTTCTATGCCAGGCACGTGTCCAGGGAAAATTTTGGCTTAGCCGGCTTCGCTTCCGACCGCCCTCAGCACGGTACCGCGTATTGTGTGCCGGGGCATGAGGCCTGGATGTCTGGACTGCTTGTATGCTCGTGCGGTATCATGCAAGTGTTAAGTTGGCGGTAAACAATGATCTAACCTTATACTCGGTAATTTATGAAAGCCATATGCCTTAAACCCGGTAACCTAATACTTATGAAATTGGCAACATATTGTCGTCGATTCTCCGTCCCGATCCCGCTGTTAGGTGAAAGCCTACCTCATGAAAACCTCGCGAAAACCTATGAACGTTTGCGGACTGGCTTAGCATTTAAGAAAGCTCGCATGACAGAAATGCATGATGCGGGACATCATGTGATACAAATTTGGCTCTGATGAACAGCAGTTCAGCAAAACCCATTTTAGCTGGGCGATCCCATTAGAGCCGGCGCAGGACCGTGTCTTACCAGACCCAGCGCAGCTTTCGTTCTCGCCAGAGCTAGCACAGAGGCCGGGCTCATCAGAGTCAGTACAGAGGCCGGGCTTACCAGAGCCAGTACAGAGGCCCGGCTCATCAGAGCCAGCTCAGCGGCCGATCCCACCGAGGCTAGCAAGGGGCTGAGGGATTTCAGAGACGCTTGAAACTGTGACTTATCTGTGAAATTTGTTTTCCTCTTGCAAGATATGGATTTGTTACTATTTAAAAGAGCGGGCGCATGGTAATGTGGGCTAGTTTCCTCACTGAGGGGACCCAGCCCAACACCGGCGGGAGGGGGGTGGGGAGTCGGGCCCCCATACGGGTGGAATGGCCCCCGCAACAAGATGCAAAGTTTCCGCCGCGGTACATCAGCTGATGCGTAAGACAGGTGTTAACCAACCGAAGGTGCGAATGTGTTCTCTGACACGTGCACGGTGTGAGGGGATTCCAATCAAGGGGAGTCGCGCGTGGTGGTTCGGTATTTGGTTCGGTATTTCCACGGCAATGTGACAGTCGTGTTGTGAACATTGCGTTTCAAACAGACACAACAACGAAAGAGACGCAAGAACAAGGGGCTATGGGGGAAGAGGGGCTGAGCGATTTCCTGAAAAGTTGCTATTAGCCGTATGGGTGGTAACTGGAAAGAAAGGACAAAAATGGACATCGGCCCTAAGCTTGGGATACCTCCCGGTCCCCACGGATGTATCAAGTACATTTAGCGTTCTCTACATGAGTTGGTAATCCTGCTTGTTTCATCGGAACGCTTGCATGCGTTCGACAATATTGGGTCTCTCTAAAGCTGTGGGGGCCGTCTCTACTTGTAAAGCTGTGTGGAGGCGCGTCTCTGACGACGCGTACATTGCCGCCACCCCCGGCGAAGTATATTCCTCGAAGTGACTTACATGCATATAGATGTGGCGGACGATTTCCTCCTTTTCCTCTGGGGAGTCGTCGGGCCAGGCGTTTTCTACCCACATGTCCATAATGATTTTGTCTGTAAAAATGTCAAAATCAAGTGGTTCTCAAGGGCTTACACCACAGTCAGTTGACATGCATATCTTAGAGCGAGCACAAACGATATCACAAATATTCGCGGTACTATAACGAAATGATTATCCCAAATATTTCCCCTCTTGCTTACGTGTTGCATAAGTACGTGAACGTGTTGCGAAGCGCACATTTGCGAAAGCAACTGTTCCTCTGAAGACAATGCTCCATGAGAGCCGTCTGAGTGTGGTTGAGTGTTTTTTTGTTTTTTTGCACGCTATGGTTTTCAATTCTATGAAGTGCACAGTCGATACATAGGAGGGAGAACGCCTTTTCAGCAACTGTCTCCCAAAAGACTGAGTTCCCTTTTTCCGAAATGGTTTGAAACATTGCTTCCGTCTCTATGGTTATTTAGAGATTCTTAGCAACTTTTAGACTGTGCCGGCCAGAATGAAGGTTATAGAGGTCAAGCTGGTTAATTAATGAAGTTAGTAGTTGAGCTTGTACTTTGAATAAGTCGACGCTGTTTAGTGTTAAAAGTCATCTTCGCGTGGCAGTCAAGACCTGGAAAATTGTAGAAAAGCTAATAATTATGACGTATGGTGAAATGTTGTAGAATGCATTCCTGTAGCAGCGTATTTCGGATTTCACTATTACAATATCGACCACATGTCTATACATATATATATATATATATATATATATATATATATATATATATAAAATAGGTTCTCGCTTATATACATTCGTACGGAGGTGAGTAAAACGCTGATTGCTTCCAAAACCAAAAAGCGTCGAAAATTTAAGGAAAAGCGGGAATCTAGATGTTGATAACTCTATTCTAAACATCGCAAAGATCTCTTGAAGAATGTTCATAGGAACGAAAACAACAATGTTAATGGATGTTTCGAAAATATGTTTTGTTAGGCGTGACGATTACATTGCGCAGTGATTGTTCAGCGTTTGAACGTAAGAATACCAGTGAATGTATTTTAGCGCTTTACTTACTAGAGCAGGGGCGTAGCCAAGGGAGCCCCCCCCCCCCCCCCCGCCCTCCCCCCTCCCTTAGGCCCGGATTCCTCTTTATCATCATAGACGTATCCTGACAGAAAGTCAAAGTTCGGCGCGGTGCGTGCTCCCCGAGCTCCGGGCCCTTTCTTCAAGAAAATACTGGCTGCGCACGTATGCTGAACTCGCTTACAATTTAGGAATAGACCTCGGTACTGGTCCACCAGTCCGTGAACGCTGTCCAGATGTTCTGCTTCGTTGTCTTCGTTGAGTCTGGGAAAGGGTCGCGCAGCTTGTTAAAGGCCTTTGCAGCTGGATTTATCGTATATCTTTGCTGCTGTGAGCACGAATGTAAAGAGGCATTTAGGGAGCAACAAAATACTATCCATCAAACATTTACGGAAGGAAACCAGGTATCAAGGCGACTAAACGAAAGCGAACAAATGATATGATAATAACCAAATGACACGTATATACACCTGTATATGTATATGGGTATAAATATATAAATACATATATGCATATATATATATATATATATATATATATATGTGTGTGTGTGTGTGTGTATATATATACATATATATATATATATATATATATATATATATATATATATATATCGCATGATACTCTTCCAGCGAAGGCACCTGAAAAGTGCCTCGTCATGGTCATTTACTGCAACGGACCATGAATCGGGAAACAATCGAACATAAGTTGCTCAGCTTTCTTCCCTAAATTATGTGCGCAAAAAAAAATGTTCCCGAGGATGGAACATGCCCACGTCCCCGATAAAATTGCAGAAGTTATCCAGGGCTCAGTCCAGCGATGATTCTGCCCCGCTTAGACGGGACAACAACGTCACCAGTCGCAATTCACTGTCTGCTGTAAGGCGCGACTCATTCGTCTGCGTGGCCAGCGCGGGTGCGTACTCAGTGCGAGTCGGAGGTTGATGGCCAGGGCGGTGGCTGCGGCCTGCTGCAGCCTGCCCGACTGCTCGGCCAGCTCCTGCAGCTTCAGCAGCCGCACCCAGGGCAGCAGCACGTCCAGCCGCACCACCTGCAGTCGCTGCTGCAGCGTCGTCTCGAATTCGGCCAACACGGCACCGTGCTCGGTTGCGATGCCCTGCCTGCGCGCCGGGAAGGCTCAGAAACGGACGACGGGCGAGAAACGGCGCAACCTGGGCTACGCGCAGGCGCAACATGCGGTAACGCGCAGGCACAGCTTGCGGCGACGCGCAGGCGCGGGAAGACTCAGTAGCATTATTACAGTATGGCCGATCGCGCGGTGCAAAGACTGAGATGAGATGTGATGGGTATTAGCATTTGTCATCTGTGTCTCAGCTGCGTTTACGAACGCATGGATCTTTACCCCAGGTGCGGTTGGTTGCTGTACATACATTGTACGTGCAACTGCATGATGTCATTCACATCAACATACAGGAGAACGACGGCAACATTTTAGTCAGCGTTTCAATGCCCGATCCAGACACTTTGCGACATCGAAGCAGCCTTATGTCAGTTTACAGAGAAATCAGGCAAAATTGGATGGATGTTTTTTCTATTATTTTCATTTAAATGCATCCTCCAGTCCTTACCCCAACAGATATCTATCCAGTATCTCAGGTACTGCTCTTAGATATTTCAGTATATTGACGTATTTGTCCAGCTGATCTGTAAAGAAAAGAAACGTTGCAGGCAATGATTCAATGTTCGGTTGGCTCCAGATTTATCATGGAATATTGAAGTGTGTTAACATCACTGACATTATCACTTTAGCATTGGCATCACGGAAAATTGCGTATGTTGTATCTCGAGCACACAACAGGAGAGAACTAGGCATGTGGACGATACCAAACTGTCAATTCGCGTCTTCTCCTTAGCAGACAGGACACGTTGCCAGCAGATGGTAATCACGGGGTTAGACACGCCCGCACGCACGCACGCACGCACGCACGCACGCACGCACGCACGCACGCACGCACACTCGCACGCACATACGCACAGACACACATTGGACTGACGACCACCTCATTCAGTGGACACATCACAACGCACGCACAGAACGGCGTCTCAAAAATGCACATAATATCCTACCATGACCAGCGACTCACCACACAACAGATGGTAGATAACACCACTATGGTAGACAGATACGCGATGTGGGACGACGACATGTGCTCGAGGCTGCACATATTCACGCGACATGGACCCATTCACCAACGGGCCGGTCAATGCGCAGGGAACCCAAGCCCTCTACGAAGGATAAGGGATAATACAAGGTTAGGCATATTACACGGACAAGACAAGACATACTATGAAAAAAGACATCATGCAGATACGACAGAAAGACCAATATGCAAAAGGCATTGCACCTTTAAAGAGGTCATTAAGAATGTGAAGACTTCAGCTGGGGCGCTTTAGCTGTTCGAGATTGTCTTCCATGATTTTGCTGCGAAGTGTTTCACGTTGGATGCCTAGCACGTATCGTATGTTCTTAGAAATGGAAAATGAAAAGAATTCCGCTAGCGCTGTGTTCCGCCTCGTAGCTACGGTGGGTAGGCTATGACTATTCCGTCAGTTTGTCAGTTCATCACAAACCATGGTGGTTGTTACCTATCATTATCAGGTGTGATAAATGTAATTTAGGTTACATGTTTTGAGACTGTTACCGTGCTGATGGAACGTCGATGGCATGCAAGGAGCTTCGAGAGAAATGTGGTCTGCTTGGACTTTGACTCGAAAGGAGTTTTGCTTCTATCCTAAACAATCACAAGCCATCGGAAGGCAATCGCTTAATCCGCCAGATCGAAAATGCATCTCAGAAGAATATAAACAACGACGTCACTTGTATTTTAACGACCAGTGTATACCAAAATATATGGATTCAAAATCTAATGATATATGCGTATGTGTGCATGGAAACTATTTATGACAGCAAATGTGTTACGGAATGTTGTCTTCGTTTTGAAATATTGAGCAGGAAGATATGAAATTTGGTGCTATATGGGACAACTTTGCATAAAAAGCACCCGCATACATCAATATAGGTATATATATATATATATATATATATATATATATATATATATATATATATATATATAAGGCATCATTATAAGCATCAATATTCATCAACGCCCACATTGTGACGCTGCGATAGCAATGCAAGGGGCAACCAATACCAGCTCTCGCTAACAGACAGCTGTGTAGTTACAGTCCGGACGGCACGCGCAGTCTCCGAGGGAACACTTGCAAGTGTACATCACATTGCATTGCTTCAGCAGAAGTGTGTCACGAGTGAAGGGAAGGAGGTGTCGTGGGATTTCGGTCTTCATCAACCGTGTAGGCCTCGAGGACATTGCATGTGTGTAGCACAGTTTTGTGCTCTGTAACGTCTAGTGTAGTCGCAGTAGGGCTTGGACAGGTTAAGTGCTTGTGTCGCGTGTGTTTGTCGGTGGACTGAATAGGGTAATTGTTGGTCAGCATTTGCCTCATTCCCTGCAACTCTAAACGCGCAAATTTCCGCGACGAAGAATGCTGTACCACCCTGTTCACAGCAGCTTGTATGATGCCATCTTTGTATATTGTTAGCTCTTGAACCGTCAGCTCCCCGCATTTCCCTGTTGTGTTTACTGTGGTGCTAAAACAGGCATGACTACCCGCTTTATGATTTTTGTCCTTCAATTGTGAATTTGTGCGGCAAAAAAGCGAAGCTTTCCTGATGAAGTCTTAAATGGAGATGAAACGATAAAGCCAGCTCTGTTATTTCAATGCCCTAATGTGAGATACCATATAGATGCATATATACGTACTGCTGAGGAGTTTTGTGCTTGGGCTTATCCCACTTGGCCGTACGAAGTTTCGCCATTCAAGCAAGCGACTAATCAAGTGCCGGAGTTCGACTAAGTGTTGCGGCCGGCAGGTGCCGTCACAGATACAAGGCTGTCGCTGCTGAAGTCACAAGTATGACAACAGCTGACAGCGCATGCGGTGAAATTGCGAATTAACAGGTACATTAGCGCTAAACGATTTCACAGTCACCAAGTGCACAAACTTCTGCCTAACCAATGACCACATAGCCCTAAGCTTTCCCCTCCTTCTGTTCTTTAACTTTGACACATTAAGCATATGGTGCTGCACGAAAATAATTGCCTCCAGCAACGGGTTTGCACCTCCCTCTTGAGACCTTGCTACGCTTATGTGCAAACATGACGTGCCGACGGCGACCGTCACCTTTGTTGACGTCGTCGACCTTCTCGCGAAGGACCTCCATGATGGCTTGCGGCCCGAAGGCGTGACACGAGGACGGCTTGGCGAGGGGGTGACGACCGGCGGCGCCTAACACGCTCCCTTCGCCCGCCACCGCTGCGGCCAGCATCTGCCGAGACAGGGGCTGCACCACCGAGATCGGGCTACACCACGTGTCCCAACGTCACATCGTGCACTGAACGATCGCCTCTCGTGACAACCGGTGGTCGTGGTATCCAGCTGGTTACTAGGATCTGGTGCAGATTGTTTCGAATGATTCATTCGGCATTCCTAGATGGTATAAAGGCTCAGGAGCATGTTACAGCAAAAATAATAAGAAAAATTAAGAAGTGTTAATTTATCACACCGTAAAGGAACGAGGTTGAAAGCACTCGGACAATGGTTCTTAAGGCATGCGATGCAACGGATGTGAGTTGTCTGCACCAAAAACAGGCGTTTTGCTGGAATGAGAAACGGAGCAAGGTAGGTAAGTGAAAAAAAAACAAAAAAAAACAGAGAAAGAGAGAGAGAGAGGGGGGGGGGAATGAAGAGAGATTGACAAGAAGGGAGAGAGATAAGTAAAGGAGAGGAGAGGGGCTCCGGAGTGAAGTAAGGAGATAAGTGAGTGAAGATCTGCAAAATCCGTACCACAACGACGAAGCACAATTCCGAAAGTGCTCGACGGTTCAAAGCCATGCTTCAGGCACTCTTGCAACCATAGAACGTTTCACAAAATCACCAGTTTCTTCTCTCAGACAGTTGATATCCTGCTGGCCGTTTTCAGACAGATGCGGGTCGCAAGCGGCGCGGCCACTGCGTGCGGCGAAACACCAGCGCACTGTAAGCGCTTCACGCTCGTCCACGTGAAGCTGCGGGCCGAGTGTACTCGACTCAGCGGCCGCCACGTGGGTAGACATTTCGGGGGACTTCTGGTGTCACAGGACTATCGATCGGTCGAGCAAATGCCAGTCGCCGGCGGTGAGTGTCTGGCGCCCT